TTTGTTGTCATAGTTAGTAACTAGAATTACCTAATTATCAATATGGTCTTTTGGAGATCATGTATCACCTGCTTAGTATTTCTTTTAGGTACCCTTCTCTGATTTAAAATTTGTTAATTACGAGGGATTTGGAGAACTGGATCTATTGTAATTTCTTGGAAGCTTAGATTTTGTTTAAATCATGACATGATTAAAAGTTTTAAATCTTATGCTAATATCAATTCTAATTTTTATTCAGACTGGCACTCTCACTGAGGATGGGCTGGACCTCTGGGGGACTGTCCCTACTGCTGACAACTGGTAGGTCTCTTAAATAAAATGTGTGATTGATAGAGTTACCTTGGTGATGCTCAAATCTATACTTCAGATGTCAAGGGATGAATGCCACATATATATATATACATATATATATATATATATATAAAATAATCGGCTGGAACCAGCTCCCAATTATTCTAACTTGTTTAATTAAATGAATCCTAAGTTTAGAAATAGATTGGAAAGTGGGTCTTCAAACTCCACAGGAGAAATAGAATAAAAGGAGGTAGATAATTAAGGAACTGAATTAACAAAACAGAGAAAAAATAGTGAAATGAAGACCATGCTTAATTAAAAACTGCAAGGACTTCCTGGGTGGCTAGTGCAGGCGGGCATGGTGGGGCTCTGGCAGAGTAGTGCTCCATCTCCTCCCTCATGGAGCTCACAGTCTAGTGGGATAAAAGGTGCAAATACACCCACCTTCAATGTACAACACAGGCCGTGAAAATGGTTACCATTAAGGCAGAACTATCAGGATAGAGAAGAAGCAATAAACATTGCTTGAGATAACACACAGTCCTGATTGTGACATAATTACATGGTGAGTACAGACAGAAGTTTATTTGAAATTTAGTGAATCAAGGAATGCCACCTGGAGGAGATGGCACTTAAGATAAGGGTGGAAGGATGTGCGGCTAGAAATGTCACAGATATGGGCTAAAAGCTGGCCCTAGGGAGAGGAGAGGACAGTCACATTGATGCCTACCCCAGAATAGAGCATGACAGAGGAGCAACGAACAGCTCAGGAAGGAGACCCCCACAGGAGCCTCCCTGCCAGCTACGAACTCCTTTTCTGCAGGGGTAAGACCTGCGTTCTCACTCTGAGTGGTGAGGGCCTCTGCTTTTAATCTCTGGTACCCCATTTTGGCTCCAACAGTGGCTGAGGCTGCTGTCATTCAGAGAGGGAGTTATGCATGACTATGATGGGGACAGGTACAGCAAGGCACAAGGTAACAGCAGACAAGCTGTGTGATGTAGCAGAAGATACCCTGGGCTGGGTATTAAGGAATCTCCTGGGCTCTAACCCTACTCATGTGTCTCTGTTGCTGGCTGCTCAGATGTCCTAGCCAGGCCTTTGTCTAAATAGGCAGGGGCTCCATGGCCAGAGAAGTGAAAGGGGGCAAAGATGTGGGCAGTTTCCACCCCACCATCTTCCTCTGTTGCCACCAGCACTAGGGAGCTGTTTGCAGAGTAGAAACAACTAGACACCATCACTGTTTAGCTGTAAGGTAGGAGAAGGGGAAGGTAAGCTATGCCAGTCTGTACTATCAAAGAGGAAAACAGGTTTTAGAGGTGGGATGTCCAGGTAGTTTTAGGAAATGGGGGCAAACTCCAAAGGGCTAAGTAGTAAGAAATGCTTCCAAGTCTATGCATTCTTTACTTTACCTGGAGCCAGCAGCCAGGCATCTTTCCTATCCCTGCTACCTAATTAGCCTGGAGATGTCTGGCCTAGGGTCTGTGGCTTTTTAAGGCAAATTCTGCAGAGTTTGCAGGTACAGCAGGCATGAGCTTCCTGCTCATACACCTTCCCACAACACTGACATTATGTAAGCTGTCTTCAGGTAACATGACAAAAGTCCCTGCAATTATATCCAAGCCCTCTGAAATTATAGTATTGATTGGCCAGTGGCAAACTCCATTGAGAAGGGAATTCATGTCTAACTTAAAGAAGAGTTTTATAAAGATTACTCTGTAGGCAGAATACTCAGGTTAAAAAGTGAAGAAACCAAGTGAGCAGGTGCTCCAGGGCAGGGAAGTTTGTGGGCAAGTTTAGAAATAGCAAGAAATAGCAAGAAGTTTAATCTGGCTCCAGAGTCTAGGACATAAAGGACATTGGCAGAGGTGGAAGCTGTCAGGTAAGGTAGATCTGAAGCAGACAGGACCTTGAGTACCAGGCTAAGGAGTTGGGACTTTATTATATGGAGCATGCAGAGCCGTGGAAGGGTCTTGAGCATGAGGGTTAGGTGCTTGGAGCTCCACCTTAGTAAGATTTAAGGGCCGGAGTGTGCAATGATTTTATCGAAGACTCTAACTTATTATGTTCTCTACCAGCTTCCAGGATGTCCACAGCTTTGCCTCGGGTGAGGCTTTGCCGTGGGGCCCACTGTGTGCGGCCATGGCCAGCTGCCACTCTCTGATCCTTCTCGATGGGACCGTACAGGGAGACCCTCTGGACCTCAAAATGTTTGAGGGCACTGCCTGGGTAAGATGACAATTTGTATAACTGAATGACTAGAACCTGCAGGAATCCTTAGTAGGAGTGCTGAAACTTTTCTAACTTTGGTTAAAACCCAGAGAAGATTCACGATAATATGCGAATGAAGGTCTGATCCTATCATAATTTCCCAACCTCTGTTCCAAAGAACTGTGTTAATGAGTTAAATAGGAGCCCACGATCAAACAAATTGGGTGAAGATCTGATCCTACCAGAATTTCCCAACCTCTGTTCCAAAGAACTGTGTTAAAGAGTTAAATAGGGGCCCAGGATCAAATAAATTTTGGACTTGCTGTCTAAATGAAGTTCAATTGATTTCTCAACTGCAGGATTTCTTTAATATACTGTGGTGCTTTATAAATATTCAAGAGGGAATATGATAATGCAACATTTAGCAAGGCTATCAGCCTGAAAAACCTTATTGACAGGCCATAACGTGACACGTTCTTCAAGAAAACCAATGTTCTCCCAAACACTCTTGGAGAAACAGTTGTTTAAAGCAGTGCTGTCCAGTATTGTAGCCATTAGCTGTATATAGCTTCTGAGCACTTGAAACGTGGCTCTGCAATGGAGAAACTGAATTTTAAATTGTATTTAATTTTAAGTTATCTAAATTTAAATAGCTGCAAGTGGCTGGTAGCTACTGTATTGTACAGCATAAGTCTAGACACCAAATTGGAGGATCCTCACTCCCACTGGTCCAGTTTTCTGGGCTGAGTGTGAATGACAACCCATCCTGGAGGCTGCGTGACAGCGGAAGACCTCTGCAATCCACCACTCTGTCACTGTGCGATGACAAATCCAGCACTGGGACTGAGTCTGTGACCTCATCTGTATTCTGGGGTAATAATATCTCATTTGTGCACTTGTGGTGAGCATTGAGACAATGAACTCAAATGGGTTTGAAAACTATGAAGAGCCAAACAAGTAGAGGCTATCCATTAATTAACTAGTTAATGAATTACATTCTACTACCCTCCAAAGAATGTTCTAAAGCTACTTACAGCGACACAAAAAACACAGGACAGCAGTTAAACATAGTTGCCAAAGAATGGAAAGAAATGTTTGCAGGGGAATAAAGTGTACCTCATGAAAAGGCTAATAGAAAGATGTATAATAGGAACATTTTAGCTTTCTAGAGGCCAAATCAATAAATGGGGAAGTATGGTAAAAAGGGAAATTTCTGCTGTCAGTAAGCTAAATTGAGGGCATTTGCTCTGGAAAAATTTTTGACACGAAGACAAAACTATAACCAGTTTTCTAAATCTTAATGGGGAAGAATCAGCGTACTTCTTATAAGCACTGTCCTTACCAGCATCATTGGAATTGACAGAATGCTGAGTTGCACAGGGTCCTTTTATAAGTGACTTTGATCCTGGTCCCAACTTTCTCTCTTTCTCCAGCAGAGGAGGACTGTGCTATCTTTCCAAATAACATACAAGTTGGGTGGGGTCTTGCTTGGGAACATAAATCTTTAGTATTAGCTCTATAAGAACTGTCTGTAAAAATAGTTACATCCATTCCAAAGAAATCATACAAATGTAAGATTAGTCACTGAGTTTAAAGCTGGATCTGAGTTAAATATTCTTTGGTAGGTAGGAATATTCCACTAAACATAAGGTGGAAAGAAAATGTCCTTTTAGGTTCTTAGGAATTTTAGTGCTAGAAAGAATGTCAGAATATTTTTTGGAAGGAACTGTGATTTAGAGAAATGAAGTGTTGTCCCCAAAGTTAAACAATCAAGTGAGTAGCTGCTATCTCCTATTTTCTGATTTCTAGTATATATATATATATATATATATATACTGTTTTTCTCATATTTTGATATTGGTTTTCTCAATGATATTAACTTCTACTGTTATAACATCCAAAGAATATAAACTACATTCAAATATGCTTTCTAATTTGCTAGCAACTAACATATTAACTCTCTATCTAACTAAATTAGGCTAGTAACATAGATATATTGTAAAGAAGTAGTCCCACGTTTTTCTCAGGATCCAATCCTATCTCATCTCCAAGCTATAGTGCTTAGCAATATTGGAGAGTAGATCTCCATATAATCCCTCCTTCAATTACTAGACGTAACCATTAAGGAATATCCATTGACCTGTAGCTAGCACTTCTTCCATCAATTACTTCTCAAAATGTATTCACAATATTTCTGGCTTTTTAACATTCTACAATAAGATTCTCAATATGAATCAAAACAACAGAAATTTGACAGTGATGGTATTAAAGTAATTGGCCTGGAAAAGAAAATATGTGAAAAGGCCTTTGAAAAGATTAAAGTGTTAAATAAATGAGAGATATTTCTTTCTTATTATTTTTCTCCAAAGAATCTTATGAATGTTTTCATTTTATAACAGAAAATGGAAGGTCATGGTGTAGACCCCTGCAAATTTGGGATATCAGGTTCAACCATCATAAAACCAGGACCAAAAGCAAGTCAGGTAAGATTTGCTTCTTTAAATCATACAGCTCTTTCCCCTTTAATATTGGTGAAACTTTCTGACTATCACATATGTTTATATTCATATTATTTTGTCTTATCCTAACAGTTTCCATAATTGGTTTGCTCATTCCTTCATCCTTAAATTCGTCCATTAGGTTTATTTTTCACTCACTCGCTGAAGTACCTGTGTATGTGAGAGCGTTGTGCTGGGTGTGAGTGGATAAAGAGGTTTCGAAAGTAGACATGCTGGGCTCTGTGTTGGAGGAACACAGACTGGCAGAAAAATCAATATGCGTGCAAATAAGTGCAATACAATGTGCTAAATGCTACAATAAAGGCTGAACAAATAGCTCTGGGAGCCCAAAGGTGGGAGTGAATACTGTTTCTGGGATGGGGAAGCACCACAAAGGAGGTGACCTGTGTGCTTGGCCTGGAAGGTGACTAGGATTTCTCCAGGCAGCCGAGGGCAAGGGCCTTGAAGAACTAGACAACTTGTTGAGGGAGTTGCTTTAGGCAAACCAGGACAGTATCAATATTGTGACAAACACGCTACTTCATGATGTCACTGAGCTCACTGCAGAGCCAGCCCTTTGTGTTGGGATGTGTCTGCTAAATACCACTTAAAAGCTTTTTAGTCTCCCTTTTGTTGGTGCACTTGCAGAGTCCTGTGGAAGCCATCACCATCTTGCACCAGTTTCCATTTTCCTCCAGCCTGCAGAGGATGTCCGTGATCGCTCAGCTGGCCGGGGAGGACCACTTCCACGTCTACATGAAGGGTGCCCCAGAGATGGTGGCCAGGTTCTGCAGATCTGAAACAGGTACGAACTGTCACTTTTCTCTTTCAAGAGGTAAAATATTTTAAAAGACAAAACACATAAAAAAAAAAAAAAACCAACACAAAAAGCTCCACAATCAATGAATGTGGAGCTGGTCATTTTCTGGGTTGGTAGAAAGTGAACCCAGTAGAACTTATGAGGCAGGGGTGATCACTTCAAGGCAGGGAGGCACAGAGTGAATATTTGTCTATGGCCCAGTCAGAAAAGTACAATCACACTGAGGCACCTGGAAAGAAGATGTGAAGCAAGAATGGGGAGCTGCAGAGGGACCAGAGAACTAGGGAGAGTGCACATGAGGAACATTGAGAGGGGAACAAAGGGAGAGGTCTGGACACTAGGGAAATTCTGCACACAGGGTTGTTCTGTCATCTCCAGGGGGGCTGGCTCCATTTATAGGGGCTCTGACAGATTGATGCAATGAGAATATAGGAAAGATAAATCTCTTAGAAATAAAAGTGATGACAGTAAATTAGATGGTATTAGAGCAAGGTAATTGATCATTTTTGCAGCAATTTCATCTTTCTGGGCCAGATTTTGAGTTGATTTGTATTGTTTTTTAAGTCTTATAAACATATGCACTCTCTAAGCAGTAGCCAGATTTATAAGAATATTGTTGCATTCAAATGAGTTCATTTGGAGAAAATTGGTCTTTTTTCTTCTGATTTTCATCTATATTCTCTTTGTGATGGCTTATGATAGCCATCAAGTTTTGCACAAAATTCTAGGTTTGGAAAATAATTGCCTTAACTTCTCTATTTGGAGTCTTTTTTTTTAAATCTTAGAAGTGCCCCCTTTCCTTCTGACTTTAATCTTCCTCAGAGCTCTCATTAACTCTGTCCTTCACTGATTGCAGCATATACTGTGTTTTGTTTTGTTTCAGCTACATGGACTCAAGTGAGCATCTTCTTGACATTTAAATTAGTATCTATCACCCCTGCTCTATCAGTAAGGGTTTGAGCCTGTCACTTGCCAATTTTATTTTCCTGGCAGCCACTCCAATTCTTCCTGTTGTCCCAATATCCAATCTTTGACATATGATAATTCCATATTCAGTGTCTTCTCCATCTCCCCACCCCCATATTTAAGAAATAGAGAGCTAGGAGCTTTCTTGAAATTAGATCCACATCTTTAGGAATATTTTAGAATTACAGAAAGTCTCAGATGAATGAGAACATAGAGATCTGCAACCTTCTCATTTTGTAAATGAGAAACTGAGGTGCAGAAGAAAGACTTAACATGACCAGAATCAGACAGCTAGCTGGGAGCAGAGTGGAGACTAGAACTTGGTTTGCCACCTAAGCCAGTACACTTCCCATTGTGCTGTGCTTCTTTCTAATACCTTTCTAGGCACATGATAAGCCATAAAAGTTTTATAATATATAAACATAATTATTATTATCATGCCAAAATATACAAACATTGGCATTATGTTATCTATCACCTAAAGCTGGGGTTGGCAAACTTTTCTATAAAGACTCAGACAGTACTCATTTCAGGCTTCTGCCTGCCACACAGTATCCGTTAACTACTCAACCATGCCATTGATGCCCCAAAACAGCCATGGATAGTAAACAAATAAATGGGCATGACTCTGTGCTAATAAAACTTTATTTACAAAAACGAGCAGTGGGCCAAATTTGGCCTGTGCACCATAGTTTGCCAAACCCTAATCTAGAAAACCAGCTGTTTCTTTCATTTTTTTCCAAGTACATATAGTCCTGAGGTCTGTCCTTACTGAACCCCATCAGTGCATCTGGCGCTCAGTTTGTCTTAGTCAGCTTGGGATATTATAACAAAATAGCATAAACTGTGTGGCTTAAATAACTGAAATTTATTTCTCCAAGTTCTAGAGGCTAGAAAGTCCAAGATCAAGGTGCTGGCCAATTCCATTCCTGGTGAGGGCTTTCCAGTTTGCAGATGGCCACCTACTTGCTGTATCCTCACACAGTAGAAAGATCATCTCTTATGCCCTCTTAGGACTTTAGTCCTATTCATGGGGGCTCCATCCTCATGACCTAATCATCTCCCCAAAATGTCTCACATCCAAATACTATCACATGAAGAATTAGTCTTTAACATGTAAATTTTTGGAGGACACATTCAGTCTGTAGTACAGTTGCTGACCAGCGTATCTTTGGCATTCTTTTCCATAAAAGTAACAGGAGCACACTGATGAAGTTGTCTTTGCCTTTTGATTGAACCTGAAAGTTTTCTATTAAAGCACTTTTATGGAGCGAAAGGTAGGACAAGGCACCAGGAATGCATCCTGGATTCTTGTTAAGGAGCTGGCCAGTCTTCAGCATGACCATATACTCACCTCTTCCCTCCTTCCTGACAGTGCCCAGGAATTTCCCACAGGAGATGAGGAATTACACAGTGCAAGGCTTCCGTGTCATTGCCCTTGCCCATAAAGTCTTGAAAATGGGGAAGCTGTTGGAAGTAGAGTGCTTGGCCAGGTAAGGAACCCAAAAGTCATCCCTAGGGCAGACTCTGCATCGTGAAGTGAATAAGCCCTGGAGATGGGCAGATGAACATCTCAGATCATCAGGAAGACTCTTGGAGATTGAGAATCAATCTCATCCCATCCACTGATTTGGAGAGGGGCAATTGTAGGTGAGACTGGGTAGGACTTGCTCAGGTCACAATGCTGGCTGATGGCAGAAAAAGGATGGCAGCTGAGATCTTGTGACTTCCAGATGCTGGTGTTATCTCTGCCATAAAGTGTTTCATGCACTGTCTCAGCTCTCATCCCACCAGAAACAACTGACTCTCCTTCCACCTCCGAGCATTATATGACTGACCAACTTGGGTGTCTCACGTGTAGAGGAGTTGAGAGAAGGAGATAGTTGGCACTTGGAAAAGTTTTCAGAATCCTTTAGACATGGGTTTTTTCGGGGCTCAATACAAATTGAGTACAAATTGAATGCCTTGTAAGAAATAAAATGCAGTATTCTTAATTACATTAAGGGAATAAATTGTCCTCATTAGAAGGTAATCTGTAAATTATTTTTTATTTTGATATTCTTCAGTTTTTAAAGGTAGCTTTAAACTTATTAAAAAGGGTAGAAAATACTGTGGAAAATTGAATAACAGCTAATCTATATATTATTCATGTTTGATTTGTGTTGCTGTTAGAAAGATCTTCATTTATATACAGTTAACTCCTTCATGTAAGATACTGCTATCCTTGTTTTAACATTATTATTTACAATGTAAGTCTATCGGCTCCAGGGTAATTAGTAATCACTGCCCCAGTGTCTACTCTGTGTCTATTTCTCCATCTATAAAATGTAGGATTGTCTGATCTCTAAGGAACCTTTCAGCCACGACACTTTAATCTTCAAAACAGAATCACAAAGCTTGGTTTGAAATATATGAATGGCATTCTCATATTTAACATTCCAGGTGTTAGCTATTCTTGAACAAGTAGAAAGCCCAGGACACACAGAATATTGTAATTTTTCAAACACAAATTTGAATAATGAATGTTAAGGTCATGTGTGAAGGAGAGATTTATGTAGCTAGTGATGGAGTGCAGCATCCCTCACCCAGATGCCACATACGAATGCAGCTGTGTTCTCATTTAAGAGCCTCTAGTGGGATAAAGATTATTACAAATATAACAGAATAAGAAAACAAGGATAAAATGTGCTAGATTTCCAACCATCCCAGATTTTCTCAGAGAACATCAGATAATGCTTTTGAGAATTTAGTTACTATTTTCAAAGAGGGTAAAGAGATAGGGTTTTGATTTTTCTTAGGATCAAATCAAAATTATATTTAGCAAAGTTTTCCAATTGGGAAAATTTTAAACTTCTAAAAATTTGGAGTCATAAAGGGGAAGTAGAAGCGTTTTGGGACCTAGAAAAGATCACCCCAAACTAAAAAACATCAGACATACCCACCAGCACTGTGTAAGTGTTCCTTTTTCACACTGTTTGCACCATCATCTATTGTTTAATGTAAATGAGTATAACTTCTATGGAAAACTATATGGAGATTCCTCAAAGAACTTTTAAGTAAACCTACCATTCGATCCAGCAATCCCACTACTGAGGATCTACCCAAAAGAAAAGAAGTCATTTTATCAAGAAGACACATGCACTCATATGTTTATTGCACCACAATTTACATTTGCAAAGATATGGAATCAACCTAGGTGCCCACGGATGGATGAAATAGATAAAGAAAAAATATATACACAGACACACCATGGAATATTAGCCACAAAAAATGAAATAATGGCTTTTGCAGCAACTTGGATGGAACTGAAGGCTATTATCCTAAGGGAAGTATCTCAGGAATGGAAAAATAAATACTACCTGTACTCACATATAAGTGGGAGCTAAACAATGGGCATACATGTCATACCGAGTGGAATAATGGACTTTGGAGACTCAGAAGAGGGGAGAGTGGGAGAGAGTGAGGGATTAAAAATTACCTGTATAGTGTATACTATTCAGGTGATCAGTTCACTAAAAGCCCTGACTTCAGCATAACATTTATTCACACAGCAAAAACCCACTTGTACCCCCTAAATCTATTGAAGTAAAAAAGTATTAAAAAATCAGAGGACATACTTCATCAAGATTCACCTCTTCACTGGTTTACTAAATTTCTATTGAACTTTACTGTGTGTTAGATACTTAAGGAACTGAGGATTCATTCAAAAGTAAGTAAAATAAAATTCTTGTCCTCATGAATCTTATATTTTAATTATGGGAAATATATAATAAAATAAATTTATAAAATATTGTCTTACTAATGGTTCTTAAATGCCCTAAGGGGGAAAATAAAGCAGGTTAGAAGAATTTAAAAAAATAGAGAACCCCATTTTGCATGAGGTGAGCAGAGAAATCCTCTAAGTCGTGACACTTGAAAAAAGATCTGAGTAAAATAGGAGAGCACGGCATGGCTATCCAGGGGAAGAGCATTGCAGGGGATGGGGTAGTCGGTACAAAGCCCTGACACAAGCTTTCCCGGGAATGTTGTAGAAACAAGAGGCCACAGTGCCTGAAGCAGAAAATGAGAAAAAAAAAAGTCATAAGTAAAATAGAAACGAAAAACATTTGTCTATTTTTGCTTTCATTGCCTATGCTTTTGGTGTCTTATCCAACAAATCATTGCCAAGATCAATGTCAAGAAGATTTTCACCTATGTTTTCCTCTAAGAGTTTCATGGTTTCAGGTCTTATGTTTAAACCTTTAATTTACTTTGATTTGATTTTTTCTGTATGAGGGATAAGAGTTAAATTTCTTTTTTTTTTTGGCATGTGGATATTAAACTAAAAAGCTTTATCACTTATCTTCAGTGAGAATGGTCTTTATTAAAAAGTCTCAAAACAATAAATGCTGGCGTGGATGTGGAGAGATAGGAACATTCCTACATTGCTGGTGCGACTGCAAACTAGTTCAACCTCTGCGGAAAGCAATATGGAAATACCTTAAAGCAATACAAGTAGATCTACAATTTGATCCAGCAATCCTATTACTGGGTATCTACTCAAAAGAACTAAAGACACTCTATAAAAAAGACACCTGCACTCGAATGTTTATGGCAGCACAATTCACAATTGCAAAGATGTGGAAACAACCCAAGTGCCCATCAATACGTGAGTGGATTAATAAAATGTGGTATATGTATACCATGAAGTACTATTCAGCTATAAGAAACAATGGTGATATAGCACCTCTTGTATTTTCCTGGATAGAGCTGGAACCCATTCTACTAAGTGAAGTATCCCAAGAATGGAAAAATAAGCACCACATGTACTCACCAGCAAACTGGTATTAACTGATCAACACCTAAGTGCACATATAGGAATAACATTTATCAGGCGTTGGGCAGATGGGAGTGAGGAGGAGGTGATGTGTTATACATACATAATGAGTGCAATGCATATCATCTAGGGGATGGACACGCTTGAAGCTCTGACTCCGGGGGGAGGGGGGAAAGGGGAAAAGGCAACACTCGTAACTTCAACATTTGTACCCCCATAATATGCTGGGAAAAAAAAAACAGCTTCTGCACAGCAAATAAAACAATCAACGGAGTAAATCAGCAACTTATAAAATGGGAGAAAATATTTTCAAACCATATATTTGACAAGGAATTAATATCTGAAATATATAAGGAACACAACTCAACAGCAAATAAGTAAATAAATAGCCCAACAATAAATGAGCGAAGGACCTGAACAGACATTTCTCCAAACAATACATGCAAATAAATGAACAACAGGTATATGAAAAGGTGCTCAACTTCACTAATCATCAGGGAAATGCAAATCAAAACCATAATGAGATCACCTCACACCTATTAGGTTAGTTATTCTAAAAAACACAAAAGAATATGAATGTGAATGAGGATATATAGAAACTGGAACCCTTGTACACTGATGGTAGGAATGTAAAATGATACAACTACTATGGAAAGCAGCGTGGAGTTGCTTCTAAAAATTAAAAGTGGAATGACCATATGATCTAGTAATCCCACAATCCTACTTTGGGGTATTTACCCAAAATAATTGAAATTGGGATCTCAAAGAGCTTTCTTTGAGAAAACTGCACTCTCCTGTTCATGCAGTACTATTCACAATAGCCAAGATATGGAAACAACCTGAATGTTCCTCAATGGATGAATGGATAAAGAAAATGTGGTATATACATAGAGTGGAATATTATTCAACCTTTAAAAAGAAGGAAAGTCTGTCTTATGAGACAATACGGATAAAACTTGAGGGCATTAAGCTAAGTGGAAATAATCCAGTCACAGAAGAACAAATACTGTATGATTCCACTTATATGAAGTATCTAAAACAGTCAAACTCATAGAAGTAGAGAATAGAATGATGATTACCAAGAGCTAAGGAGAGGAGGAAATAGGAAGTTGTTGTTTAATGGATACAAACTTTCAGTTATGCAATATAACTATGCAACACTTCTAGAGAAGTGTTCCTACCACCAATGCCATCCCCTCACACACAAAACAAAACAAGAAAACAGGAGCAGGAAGAAACTTTTGGAGCTGTTGGATATATTTATTTCCTTGATTATGGCGATGGTTTCATAGGTTTATGTATATTGTTCAAGTACATCAAATTATATACATTAATATATACAGTTCACAGTTATATACATTAATATATACAATTACACTTCAATAAAGCTGTTAAAAATAAAATAAAATGCTTTATGAAACTAACAAGAAAATTAGAATAAATTGGTGAGAAGATTTTCAGATCTTCCTTTTGGTTTTAGTTAATGAGAAAATATCAATCCAATTTATAATAGAAAGTAATGAAGTTAAATGATGTGAAGAGCCTTTAATGAATTCCATATTAAGATAAATTTTATTTTGTAATATTTTTTGAAATCACTAAGGCAGGATTCATATCTGATTATCTGTATATTTATCAAGTGCCTAATACAAGAGCTAAAACAAAGTAGTTATTTAGTAAATGAACTTTTGAACAAACGATGGAGCCATTTGTACTCTATTCTGGAGAGCAGTTACTCCATTGTGTTGCCATCCAAGTTTCAATTACATTTCTCATCAGGAACTCCAACTGTGATCTTTCTTTTAAACAAGGCTTACTGACCACATGTTTACTTCGTCTCCCTCCCCGATCCCACTAACATGTTAGTAAAGAAACAATATCAAAGGAAACTTTGGAAGTGATAGGTGCAGATCAGAGATTTTGACACAGTTCTGTTAGACGTAAACTTGGTGGAGGAATGGTAGCTGAATCAGGAGGACAGAGGAAGCCATAACCTACTCCGTAGCTAGAGAGAGAAGTGGCAATAGGTAAGCCGTTTTCTCTGTAGAGCCCCAGAGAGGCTGAGACTCAGATAAGTCAGGTACTATATGGAAGGTGGAAGTGAGACTCAAGGCTGAACACAGAAGGATTAACCGACAGTATGCAGAGAAGTTGGATCCTTAGGTCTGTCCTCCCCCTTTCTTTCCCTGCATTCTTAACCCCACTCTGCACAGAAAAATGAACAATGAAAGATCAAGAAACAGCCTTTGGCCTACAAATTTACTTTTTAAAAGCCACCCAAGATTTAGTCCATTTAGGAGGAGAGGTCCTATCTAACAAATGTAACCCAGTGAGACCCTAAGCCTCCAACTTCAAATTCTGAGAACTCTTCAGAGCCTTGGCTGACTGACACCATAAATATCAAATAAATTGGAGTTATTATTGCAAAGTCAAAAAAGAGAGAGAAAGCTCTTGGAAATTAAAAAAAATATATGATTAACATAATATTTAAAAACTAACAAAAGAGTTGGAAGATAAACATATTATTTTTTTTAAAAAACGGAGTTGATAACTGGAAAAAGCAGCTAAAAGATTTAGAAGTGGTTGCCTCTGGGGAGGAGAAGGGTGAGGTGATGGGGAGACATAGACTATTGGTTTTCATCATAAGCTCTCAGGTTCTTTTTGATGTTTTAAACATGCGACTGTATTATACTAAAACTCAGACTTCTAAGAAGAAGAAATCCAACTGTTGAGACTACATAGATAGGATTTAATATTGATTTTTCTCCTGACTCCAAAGAGAGGAAGTGGAGTCAGATCTCACATTTCTGGGACTGCTCATAATGGAGAATCGCCTGAAAAAGGAAACCAAACCAGTCTTGAAGGAACTGAGTGAGGCCCGCATCAGGACTGTGATGATTACAGGTACGTGTTTGTTTCTAAAGGCCTGAAAAGCTCATTGTATCCCAGGCATCAGAGAAAGACACGTGAGTGAGTGAATTCACATGACTGAGGCAGAAAGAAAAATGTTCTGCTGTCGAGTTTCTTACCCTGTAGTCTATTTACTTGAGAATAGATGTAGTTCCCCCAGCAGGACCAGGAGATTTGGAGGCAGGGACTGATACAGAAAATGGCGGGTGCCGGAATGCGGCCCCTTGCCGCCTCCCAGTCGCTCTGCATCTCAGCGGGCCAGTGCTGCGTGTGACCAGTTGGAGGGCACGCTGTTGGGCCGGGCCTCCCTGTGGCACAGAGCTGCGGGGGGGCCCAGCATGCCGCCAGGACCCCTCTTGCCAGATGCCGCCAGGCCCATGTGCTGAGGCCTGTTTCCAGCCGCTGCTTGCGTGATCCTGATTGGGTAATTTTTGAATCCCACTGTGTTTGATTGGATGTTAAAGCTTGTTGTTGATTGGATGTTAAAGCTTATTGCTGATTGGATGTTAAAGCTTGTAGTTGATTGCATGCTTCTTGAGCCCTACCAAGGGTATAAAAGCAGGGGCAGAAGGGCAGAAGGGGAGAAGATCGGAAGACTCGAAGAAAGCTGTAACACCAGGTGTGCTGAGCCTGCTGTAGAAGAATAAAGGCTGCTCTCCGACTCGTGTTCTTTCCCCGTCAAACGAATAAGAGCTATAACAAGAGCCGTAACACTAGCTGTACACATTGCCACAACAGGACCATATTTCATTCTCTTTGTCTAAGGCCTACTTCTCTCACCCAGAATCTGTGCAGTGCTCACAGTGAATGTTTCAACACAAGAATGGCTATACTCTCATCAGGCAACCCAATGGGACCTCTGTGCAGAGGATGTGAGGCTCTGGTTGACAGTCCTCCAGGCAGTAGGGGCAAGCTGGTGTATGACCATCAAACCCAAGCATGGCCTGGCCCTAAATGTTCTCTCCTCTGCCTAACTGGAATCCAGATCCCAAGAATGGTTTTATGCTATCAGATTGGGATCATACTGTGTTTACCACTAAGAGCTGTCTGTCTCCTGAGCATTAGTCACAAGTGCTTAAACATTTGTTTATTCATTCACAAATGTTTTGGAAATACAAAATGGACAGGACATGATGCTAAATATCATGGGAGGGAGACGGAACCATAGTTCTTGCCCACTATTGGCAGCCAGTCTTAGGTGGAGGGGAAAATAAATCACTATAAAATAAGGCAGAAAGCAATAAATGCTCCCAAAGAGTGTCAGCAAAGCGGAGGAGGGAGAGTTCAATTCTGGCTGCTGAAAAGAGGTTTGTACATAAAGCAAGTAAAGTTTCTTTGTCTTCTAGGTGACAACCTTCAAACGGCCATTACTGTTGCAAAGAATTCCGAAATGATTCCTCAAGGCAGCCAAGTGATCATTGTGGAAGCCGATGAACCAGAAGAGTTTGCTCCTGCCTCTGTGACCTGGCGGCTGGTAGAGAACCAAGAGACTGGACCTGGGAGGAATGTGAGCAAATGTTACAAGGCCCCTCCATGGGCCTGGGCTCATGGAATGCAGCCCTGGCACCGCACAGCCTTCTCTTGGCTCTCGAAGTCATCAGACTAATAATTCCTCACATCTGTCCAGAGTTTTGTAGTTCGAAAAGCATTTCCACTATGCTTTGCTTCTCAGCCCTAGTTGCATATTAAAATCACTTGGGAGAGTTTTAAGCTTCCTGCTGCAGGCTGTACCAATTAAATCAGAACCCCTGGGGTGGGAGCAGGCACCAGCCACTTTTCCCAGTGATTCCAATGTGCATTCATAGCTGAGAACTACTGATTTATATCCATATTTTCCATTTGATCTTTACAATAATCCTATGGAGTTGGGCAAACTATTAATTTTGGAAATGTGAAAACTGAGGCTCAGAGAAGCTAGCTTGCCCACTACAAAAGTTGGTAAGTTGTGAGCAGGAAGCCAGAGTCAGGTCTGTTCAATTCCATACAAATCCATGGGCATTTAGATTGTACTATGCCTATGACATGTAGTTAGCAGGTGTTGGGCTTCCCTAGACAGCAAGCTTCCTGTGCACTTGTGACAGAATAGCTCTTTCATATATGTTGAGAATGCGCTATAGCCTCATACTCCATTACTAAAGGTAGCACCTATCCTTTTGTGTGAATTCAAAGAGATGGCCCTCCAGGTGATGAATTACAAAAATGCTTTTCTCTTCCAGGCTGACCAGCTTTTCAGGTTGTAAAGTATTGAGTGAGTCTTTGTGCAGTCAGAAGTCTTTGTGAAGTACACAAATGGTATCAGTTTACAAAGTGGCCCTGCTCCTGCCCTGGGAAGAAGTGGGTTTACTTGGCTCAAACTCCAATTGCAGGGGCTGTCTGTGAAAGATGACAGTTCTCTCTATGCTTTCAGCTTACTTCCTTGTGAACCCACTCGCTTTTGCTTCGATGCATGCTACCTGAATTTCACTGCATGAAGGACTCAGGTCCTTTGCTCATTTTAACAAGCAGTCCATTCACACTACTCACTCGTGAGTCTAATACCTTTACTGAAGGTTTGTTTACCACTGGGACAGCCTGCATCACCGTCTCAGGCCTTCCTCCTCCTCTCTGGCTCCCCTCACCATGCTTTTCTCCCCACCTTCCTAGGATAAGCAAAAGGAATTCTTGCCCTTGTCTCATGTGTGATACTTTAAAACATGTCTTTTGTTGGGTGTTTTTGTAATTGGGAGTGGATGGGGGGGGCATGTTATCTTGCCTCCCAATTCAGCATAGCAAAATTTTTTCTTCCAAATACAACACTTTCCCTGAGATGAATTCCTCTAATAAATACACTTTTCTCACCTCCTATACTATTGAATTCAGGGTTCTCCACAAATGTAAGGTTCTCTGAGAAATGTATGAAAAACCATTATTAGCTACTGACATAATGAATGCACGGCATTCATTGTATACCAAGCCAGAAGGATACCTTGACAGGTGAAATATAGGAGGGAAAGGGTTTTGGAAAAGGAGGAGTGCTGGTGCAATGGAATGTAGGGTGTGAAAAAGGTTCTGGGCACCTGAGAGAAAGGATTACCTGTTGAAGTAGAGTCACAACAGAGGTCAGAGGTCAGGTGTTAAAAGGAGTTAGACTCTGAAGAAAGAGTCTGACTACAGTGGAGAAATTGGGGCATGATTCTTGAATAAATTATGGTTAAGAAATCTTAGAAAATATAAAGTTGCATGAGGAGAAGGAAGTAGAGGGAAGAATGCTCCTGTTCCTTCTTGTACTCACTGATTGGGACCTTGGAACAGGTAAATTGCTTCAGTAGACTGACATCACACATATTGTCTCCCAGGACAGGATCCAGAGTACCATGTTGTCAAAGTACCATATGTTTATATAACTGGGGGAGGGGGACACATTTTGAGTGTTTTCTTCCTGTGAGTTAAAGTTCCATGAGCAAATTACACATTAGGTTTTTGTTGATCCTTACACTGCTATGCAACATGAATACACGTCCTTCCATAAAACAGAAGAAAGCAGAGACATCCCTTAAGAGCCAATGTAGAAATATATTTCCAAACGAAGTCACAAAAAAGAAAAGAAAAGAGCCAATGTAGAAATAATGCCTTTTTGATTTTAGGAGACCTACATTAACATTGGAAACAGCTCAGTACCTGATGGGAGAAGAGGGAGCTGTTACCATTTTGCAATGAGCGGGAAATCATACCAAGTCATATTTCAGCATTTCAACAGTTTGCTTCCAAAAGTGAGTACTGGACAAATGAAGCGTTTTATTTTGCTCCTCAAATTAGTGAGGCAAACAGGGGTAAGAGAGTAATGAAAGTGATGATCACTAAGGTTGTCTCAGAGTTAGAGAGTAAACGCCTCAAAGGGGCGCTGCTCCTGCAGAAGTATCCCAGCCCTTCCCACACCTGCCCAGTCCTGTGCACACACACAGCCTTCCCTTCAGAGCTTGAGTTCTGGTACATTCTCTCGCCCCTGTGGCCACTGCAATCTCAGCCTCCCTCCTTCATTCCCCCCAGCCCCACACCCCGAAGAACCTCCAGATAGTTCCAAATGTGCTGCCTGTTTCTTGAATCAGCCTCTCTCTGAAAGCTACCAACTCATGTCGGGCTAAGGTCTAGTCCCCTTCCTGTCTGGATTCTTAAATTACAGCAAGAGGAAATACAGGCCCCATCGTTTATTTTCAAAATCATTTGTTATCTTGTCCTCTGTGTGTCCTATTTTAAAAATAGTGCTGTGCAGGGCCGTGTTGTCAATGTGGAGGAGATTAATGGAGCACAAGCTGAGGGCAGCAAACGTCTGTTAGCAGTGTCTTAAACATTCTGTCATTTTACCAGTTAAGGACCATAGAATCTCGACCCGAAAGGCTTCTAGAAAGCTCTTAGTCCAGTTTCTTATTGTAGAGATGGGAAAGCTGAGACTCAGAGAGGTTAAAGCATGTCTAAGGTTTGCACAGCAAGTCAGGGCACAGCTGAGAATAGTCTTTTGTTTTTCATCTCCCAGTCTATTGCTCTTGCCTCTGCCTGTGCTGCAATTATAGAGACTGTTTAATAGAAAGAACTATTATTTCCTTAAGCATTTTCATTCCATATGCTCTGCTGCTTCTTAGTTACTGTATTACTATTAATTAGAGGTCACCCCCATCTTGGAAAAATGGTCTGGACAAAAGTAATAGTTATAATGGAGGACTCAATGTGAAAGTTCAATATTAAAGCATTGAATCTCCTTATTTCTGTTCCTGATATTTGGTCTAATGACATACCACCCCATTCTATATTAACTCAGTATTCAGGAATGATTTTTCAACGATTATTAAAATAAATGATCAGAGGCTGATTCACAAAACAGTCAGCTTTTATTTTAAAAGCTTTCCTCTTCCTAATTTTATTGCAATGGTTGTTTTTCTCTTTAGATTCTGGTGAACGGAACCATTTTTGCAAGAATGTCTCCTGGGCAGAAATCAAGCCTTGTTGAAGAATTTCAGAAATTAAAGTAGGTGTTATTGCATGAAATAGAGGACCATATTTGTTACCTATTAGTGCATAATAAATTACCCAACACCTTAGTGGCTCAGAATGACCCTATTTACTATTTTACCTTTCTGTGAGTCAGAAATCCAGCTGTGGCTTAGCTGAGTTTTCTGGCGCAAGGTCTCTCACAAAGACTGTAATCAGGTGTTGGCCAGGACTGTAGTCATCTCAGTACTTGAATGGGGAAAGGATCTGCCACCAGCCACACTCATGTGTTGTTGGATGGATTCAGTACCTTGTGAGCTGTTGGACTAGGAGCCTCAGTTTTTCTGGGCTGGTGGACAGTAGCCACCCTCAGTGCCTTGTGACATGGGCCATTTCATAGGG